AGGTCCTGGCTGCTATCAGGAGAGAACTAGGAGGACAGCCAGATGAGCTGCTGGCTGGCTTTCTCCTGCCCTCATCCCTGGTGTCAGCACCCCGCGGCTGCGCCTGTGAGGGGACTGTGTCCATGTTCTGGCTCTCTCTGGGATCTCGACCATGCCACACCTCTCTTCTCCCTTTCATGTTTCTTTTCCACATTTTCCATAAAAGGGGAAGGAATAGTAAGCAACAACAATAACAACAACAACAACAACAACAACAAGAAAATGCAGGAGGGAAATAGCAAGCTTTTCTTTTTGAGTTTCTTCTGTGATGTTATATATTTTTGGACCCTTGAAATTCACAGAAAAGTTAACTCAAGAAGAAGCTCCACATAAGCAGTGGAGAGGGAGAGAAGGCTCACAAATAACATGAAGGTGTTTTCAGCTTGGTCACAAAGTCATTAATTCCGACATGAAGCTTTGAAAATGTGTGGAGAGAGGCCTGGCAGCATGGAAAAGTGTCAAGTGAGGTTGCAGACTGCTGGCCCGCTGGTCAAACTCCACTGACATGCTTTGTTTGGCTCACGTAGTATTTGTAAAATATTCCAATCAGTTTAAAGTGGAAGTTCTCATAATAAAACCCTTGGTTTCTGGCTTTCTCGAGGAGTGGGGAGCACTGGCGCTGGGGCTGGGGCTGGCTGGTAATGGACCCTGCGAGGGGCTTGGCTCCTGTCCCCAGCGCTGCCAGCATGACCCACTGGCTCAGAAAGTTTTAGATTCAGACGTGGAGCACCAGTTGCCACCTGGGCGACTTTGGGGCTGGCACTTCCTGGACTCTTCCTCCTCACCTGCCCTCGGCAGCCTATGGGTACCAAGAACACGAAGCACACGGGGTTCCCCACCCAGGTGGCCGTGGTCAAGTGGGCATCAGGGAAGAGATGCACAGTGACAGCCCATGAACTGCGACAGCGGGGGGATTGCCCTGCTGGCCTCCTAAGCCGGTGTGTTTCAGAAACGCGTTTTCTAAAATGATTATGATTATTTTACAAGATCCATGCAGTCTACACGATGCTTTATAGGGCGTATCCAGCTACAGCTGGCACACTTTGGGGTGTTTTATGGCAAATTATTCTCAGATTACCCTTGAATGCAGGAAGGTCTGCCTGTTGTCTGAGCTCCCTGGGTCATATAGAAAACGCTCAGTCTTGATACAAAACAGCTGTCTCAGTCAGCTGTTCCAAAAGAGAAGTATTTTTAGGCTGAAGCAGCAGGAAAAAGGTTTCGTAGCTGGTGGAGAGTTTGAAAAATGTTAAATTACTCTTTCCTTGCCATTAAAGTGTGATTTAATTTTGTTATTAACAGACTGTGTAAATCTAAAGAGAAGCATACTGAATGGGAGTTTGTGAAGTGCTTTCTGGCAGTTACAGTGTGTCCGGGGGGTGTTCTCTGGTGAGGTTATGCAGCAGACCCAAACTCCCGCTCACCTCCATGTCCCTGGGGCTCAGCCCTGGCTGGGCCTGGGTCAAGGGCCAACCCCTGTGGCTCCCTCCTCACTCTCCTCTGGATCCCTGCAGAGACCAGCAACAAAAGGGTCAATTGTCTGAGGCCTCCCTTTGTCTCAGGGTCTCTACAGGCCTTTCCGAATGCCAAAGTGTCTCTGTGCATGAGGGCGAGTGCTTGTCTGTGTGAATGTGTGCATGTGCATATGTGCTGGTGTATGCATATGAGTGCATGTGAGTTTTTTTTTGTGTGTGCATGCACATAGGACCATGCTCATTCATCCATGCACACACATACATGAGTGCATGTGCATATGTGCATACACACATGCAAGGGTGGATGCGTATATGCATAAGTGCACACATAAGCACATGTACATGTGTAAATCTAGTGTGAACATGTATACTTGTGCATGTGTGATGTGTGTCTGTGCACACACAGGCAGTGGTAAGACCTGCTTAAAGCATATCTGAGTTGCTGATGCTTCTTGGGGCAAAGGCCTGGCTGGTGATGTCGGTCCCTTATGCCAAGGGAGAGAAGTATCTTGGGCCCATCTCTCAGCAGATTACACAGTTGCTTTTTTGTAGTGTTTGCCCTGTATGGAAACCTTGGGGCATTCTCTAGCTCCCTGCCTTCTCTAGGTCAGGTAATGTGTAGGAGGGAGGAGGAGCAGGCTCCTCACATGTCTCATTGGCTTCATCTGCCCGCTCCAACCTGTCTTCCGTGGCAAGGCCCATAAGAATTTTTTGACACTTCTAGCATCTTGTCAGGGCTGTCTGATTGGATCCAGGACATTCCGTGTGGAGCGTAAGCCATGATTCCCGAAGGACTGTGCAACACCCTGTTCCCAGCCACTCCTTAAGCTGAAAGCTCCGAGGCTTTGCCTGGGTTCTGATTTCATCTTGTTCTTAGCACATCTTTACCTGGCCTTTCACACCCAAGCCTGCAGGATGCTACAGCTGGTGTCTGTGAGTCCACCAGTCACACTTTCTAACTTAACGAAGATATCCTTTTAAAAATGACAGTGAGACATATTTGATTCAGAATCAGGAAGAGACTAGTAAAAATGCGAAATTGAAATTCACCTCTGTGAAGGATTTATCTCCCAGCCCCCTTTAACCAGTACAGCTGCCATTTAACAACTTTTTCTGTTTTTTTTTCTTTTTCTTGTCCCTCCCACACCCATTTCCTCTCTCTGTTCCAGCTAAGGCTTATCTTTCAACTGTGGAAAAGCCACCAATTAAGCAGTACTCCAATGCTTATCAAAATATTCAGTTGGTAAAATTATCTTATAATTAGCCCAACTGTAAGCCAGAACTTTTTAACCCCAGGAAATGTAAAGTTACCCGGGTTGTGAAATCTGTAAATTGCTCATCCTGACCTTCTGGCTGCAGGTTCTGTTTTTATTTCCTTCCTCAAGTAATTTCCTCCTTGTTCTTTAAATTCTTGATTGTGCCTGAGGCAGCGTCCTGTTCTGTTTGCTTAAATCTCAAAGAGAAAATATACTCCTGGTTAGTTGAGATGGATTTTTGAGCAAATGCAGGTATATGTGATATGAAATAGACTTGATGCCATATATTTCAGGCCTTCGCTTTTAGATATTCTTTTTGTAAAATCAAGCCTATCCTCCCGGATTCCTGGTGGCCCACTGTGTGTCATTGGTTCTGTATTTTGGTGTGTGGAGTGAGAACACATGGTGGAATATGTCCAGGAAGGCAGAGTCTCTGTCCTTTCTTACCTCAAGGGTTTTACATCTCCTCGCTCTCTATCCCCTGCCCCTTCCACCTTCCCACTCTTTGGAAGCACCCTGGGTGGCACCATAGAAGTCCCCTCCCCTCCCACCCTCTTTGGGGCTGACATCAGGGAAACTGACAATGCTTTGTTTGTGGATGTTAAGGTACAACTCAGGGAGACTTTTTGCCCAGAAACCGTATCATAGATGATGCTTAGATTTTTAACTGCTGTGTTGCCATAATGCTGTAGTTCAGCTTCAGATGGGATAATCAGATTTCTGGAGGCAAGGTTGAGGTTGCAAGTTTTTTTACATGCTAAAATGCTCTCAAAATTCTGAAAACTTAACTGAGAAATTAAATTTTGGAACGTGACAACTTATTTTAATAAGTTTTGCCTATATACAGTGGTAGTATGGGTAGTTATTATTTATAGAGTTTTTCCTATTTATCAGGTATAAAATAAGTTTATCCTGTTTTTTTCCTATTTATGCACACATGTGCACACACTCAGAGATATAAACACAAATACAGAAAAAGGGCAAAACCTTACATTAATCCTGTGAGAAAATAATTATTCTGCCCACTTTACAGCTGTGAACACTGAGGCAGAGACTTTAAATAACTTGCTGATGCCCATTTGGTTCGCAGTTGAACTTGGTTGGCCTGATTCTTTTGTAACTCACTGGTGACCTTGCTGAGCCCCATGTTGTGTGACTCCACCTCTGCTTATGCTTGGGAGGTTTCCACAACATGCCACAGACTACTCTCCCTGAGGAAATCACACTGTCACCTCAGCTTCCACTTGCTGCTGTGCCAGCAATGTGTACACTTTCTCTTGATGTCACACGTGTGCAGGCTTGATGGCTTTGCTGCCCTCAGGTGTGGCTTGCTGGCCTGGAGCTTATGGGATCAGTGTGAAGCTTGTGCTGATGCCCCCGGGGAGATGCTGGCCCAGGTGGTCAGTCGCCCTCATGGCCTGGGCTCCACCCAGGGCTCCTGGGGCTGGGGGTGGACGGCACAGCTCCCAGGACAGGGGTTAGCTGTGCCCTCCTAATGTGAATCTCAGAATCTGTTGCATGCTGCAACCCATCCTTTCCTGGCTTTGTCTCAGAGCTGAAAAAGCACTGTTTTGCTCATGGAAACAGAGAGTAGAATGGTGGTTGCCAGGGACTGGGTGTGGAGAAATGGGGAGACCTTGGTCCAAGGGTATAAACTTTTAGTTCTGAGATGAATAAGCTCTGGGGAGCTAATGTACCACATGGTGGCTCTAGTTAGCGATACTGTATTGTATACTTGAAATTTGCTAAAAGAGTAGAACTTAAAGAGTTTTCATCAAAAAAAAAAAGAGGGAACTGTGAGGCAATGGATGTGATAACATGATAACATGTGATAATCATTTTACAGCATATTCATATGTCAGATCATGACCTTGTACACTTCAACTATATACAAATTTGGGGATCATTTATACCTCAATAAAAAAAATAAAAAATCTTAAAAAAGAAAAATAAGATCTCTGTTTTGGAAGTCTTTCCTGATGAGGGACACCTTCTGTCTAATCCACAGTGAAATAATTGTAGGCATTTTCAGGACCCTTTCAAAATATGATTAGAATCCTTTAAGAGCTAAGTTGATGCTAAAGATCTATCGTTAGAATGTGTTATGAACCATTTGCAGTAGGGGATTTTAGGAAATGTTTAAAAAATAATTGACCATACTAAGTTAATTATCTTGTGTATTCAGTACATTCTTGATACTATCTAATATGTATTTCTCTCTCTTTAATTATAGCTTGGGTTGATGATAGCCATTCGCTGTAGCCACAGGTAAAGTTTAAAATTTTTTTCCTTTTAAGGGGTATCCTACTGGTTTATAGCTTTTGATGTGCTCGAGTCTGTGGGTTTTGAACTTAATTTTGGTGACTGCTCTATTTTGTCACAGCAATTAGATGAAATTGTTCTAGTTGCTTGATTGGAGAGTTAACTGTTATTTGAAGAATACAGTTTTTATGTAAAAGTGGTGGTAGTACATTTCTTTCAGAACAAAAAATGCAATGTTCTAGGGCAGGGACACAGAAATGATTTCTGGATAATACACTCTGTCCAGGGGTGAGAACCCAAATCAGGGATGTTACACATGAGCATCAAGGCCGTGTGGATACGAAGCCAGGTGGGGGATGGTAGTGAAGCCTGTACCCCCCCTCCATGCTGGACCTCCTGCTTTCCTCTCATGCATATCTGAGAATGGCTAAAAGCCCCTATTTTTGTCTTTCTTCATGATTTCTTACTTTGTCTCAATTGTATATTTATGAAAAATGTTTGTTTCTTGAACAAGTGTCAACCTTGCCCTTTTGCATATATCAAAATGTATTAAGATCCTGAATTAGTTAAAGTAAGCTCCATAAACTCATCTTCCTGGGGTGCAGCTCAGGACACTGGGCCAGCTCTCGACAAGTAAACCATAGTTACCTGATTTCAAAATGAGTTTGCCTTCTAAAAATACTTGTAACAAGTTGTATGCATGGTGCCATCACTGAAACCTTGGAAGTGCTGGCGAGCTGTGTAGGTTAGAGTGGGCAGAAGGCAGGGAGGATTAGAACCACCAGGAACCAGGAATGAGTGTGTGGTCATGGTGGGCATCTCTGGATACCCTCGGAAGAAGGCTACTCGAGAGAAGCTCATGGTTGCTTTTATGTTTTGGGTTCATAAGTGTGCCTGATGCCTGCGTGGGGCGAGGTCTAGTGTCCTGCAGAAGCATGTTGTTCCCTGTGATCACAGCCAGGCTGCCGCAGCTGAGATGCATGGCTGCTCTTCATGTAGGAAGTGTGGTGTGGACCGTGGACTCTCGATTCTAATGCCTGCTGGATACTGAGTGTGGAGGGTGCGTGTGTGTGTGTTTTGGGGGATACAGGGGGTGGCTAGAAGTGCTCTCTTTCTAAAACTTTCAAGAGCCTCCTTCTAGAATGTCCTAAATGTAGTCTGCTTGGTCTGCTCTCCTGCTCTAAAATGAGGAGTGGTACGTGTGTGTGTGTGTGTGAGAGAGAGAGAGAGAGACAGAGAGAGAGACAGAGAGGGAGAAAAAAAGAGATGATTGTACCATTTATTTTCCTTTGGTGGGACTTTCCTCGTATGTGAGTCCTGCACATCAAGAAAAGCAGCCACCTGTTTCCGCACAAGTGCTAAAAAAGGTGCATCTTCCCTAAAGCCCTAAGAAAGCCAAGGTCTTGCTCTGGTTTGGGAACAACGTCCTCTTTCCTGTGATGGCGAGGCATCCTCTGCTGTTTCTCTGTGGAGAGTTCTGACTTGTGCAGAAATTCAGAGTCTGCGTGGAACCTGAGAAGAAAGCTTTCTTTTTAATACTTTCTTGGCTTAGGGACTGTGATCAGCCATCATCCTTTTCGAATCAGGGACTCAGGTAAGACTGCAGAGCAGGGCCAGCCTGAGGGAGGTCCTGGCTGGACGGCGCCTTTGTGCTGGTGCTGCGATGTGCCAGGGCCACGTTGCGGAGAGGAGGCTGCTTCCCTGCCCTCAGCACATATGTGCTTGGCATCATTCTGTGTTGTTACCAAGGTCACCCTGAGCTGGGGGGGACTCTACTTTGGGCTTTATGCAGCCTTCATTTAGGAGGAGAAAATGTCTTCTTACCCTGGACTGGGTAGTGATTTACATACACCTGCCTTCTGTAGGGTTGGGGGCAGTGTGCACTTTGGAAGGAAGCACTGTGTGGGGTTTTAAAGGACTTGTCCCCAGGGCAGCCCAGCTTTGCTGAAGGATTGTGGTCAGTAGACAGTGGGTAAGGGGCTGAGTGGAAAAGCAAATGCCCTGAGCCACGGTCCTATAGGAGCTGAGGATAGAGCTCCACTGTGATAAAGGATGTTGGAGGCAGTGAACCAGAGTTGATTGTAGAGAGCAGAGCTTTGGAAGTCCTCATCCAATGGCCACGTTTATGGAAACCCAGCTCCATTGGTGCCTAAAGCCTCAGTTCCTATTGCTACCCGATGCTACCACTTATCGTGCTGTGTGTTCTGAGGGCCAGGAGTTTGGAGACTGTGAAGATGGCTTGTCTTTGCCTCACAGAGTCTGGGGCCTGTACCGACAGATGCAGGGCTGAGGATACAATGCTCTGAAGGTTCCTTCACCCGTGTGTCTGCTGGGTGGTGCTGGGTGGTGCTGGCTGGCGGCTGGCGGCCTCTGTTCTTGGGCCATGCAGATCTCCACGTGGTCTTCATATGGGCTCGTTTGGGCCTCCTCACGGCACGGTGGCTGGGTTTCTCCGAGTGAGTGTCCTGGAAAGAGAGAGCCAGGTGGAAGCTGTGTCCTTCCTGTGGTCCAGCTTGGGAAGCCACCTAGCATCACTGCCCCCTTGTTCTATTGGTTGGAGCCGTCACCAACCCCCACTCACATTCGGAGGGAGGGAGCCAAGGCCCCGCCTCTCAGTGGGAGGAGTGCTGGTCATACTGTAACAAGAGCAGGGAGGTGGCGTCTCCATGTGGCCACTTTTAGGAAATGCAGCCTGCCACAGAGCGCAGCCGAATGGTGGAGTACTTATTCAGAGCCCTTGTGAAAAGAAAGTTAAGACGCTGCCCTAGCTATAGGGCACTCACTATAGGTATGTGCAAAGAAGACTTGAGGTTAGACACAAGTCTTATAGGAGGGGCAAACCCATCACAGGAGGCTTCTTAGAGGAAGTGGATCGCATACCATCCTCATTCTGCTGAAGTGGGACTGTGGAGGCAGGCTCAGCCCACTCAGGCAGATGCCCCTGGTAGGCTGACAGTGTGGTCCCTGCACAACATGGTCTTTAAATTACTGTTTGGCATTTATCTGGAGGAGAGGCGGAGTGTGGGGAGGTGTGGAGGGATAGGCTGGATCCTGGCTGCCTCAGCCTGCCTTCTGTGGCCCTAGGAGTTCAGCCCTGGCCCTGAACTTAGAACCCACTCCTCAAAGAAAACCCCTGCACAGAACTGGATGGGACGCCAGGGGAATGTCTAGCAGGCGTCTGTTGTGTGGGAGCACGGCTCTTTGGGCCCCAGGCCCCACCCCAGCAGCAGAGCAGCGGGGCGCTCCCATGCTCCTCACCCCCCGGCAGCCCATAGTCTGTGCTCGTGCAGGAAATTTCTTGGCAGACTGGGCTGCTCCTGCACTGTGTTTCCAGGGATGTTTTCCTCTGGGCTGTTCTGTCCCCTACCTGGGGTTGGGGTATTAAGTTCAGGGAGTTGTGGATATTTACATAAATGCAATAAACAAAAATCTAAATATGTTATGATGAAAGTAATGAGATTGAGGAGGAGGAAAGTGAAGACATATACTGAGTTGTCTCTGTAAGTTCCAAGGTCCTTTACCATCTACTTTGGAGTGTTGGGACCCCAGAGTGCGTGGTGGCCCAGTGAAGCCAGTGATCACAAAAGGCTGCCCTTAGCAGCTGCGTGTTCCCTACCCAGGAGTCTGAGGGCCTTAGGAGCCACAAGAATGACTGGGGCATGGTTGCCATAACTCAGAGCTGATGCACAGATGTTGGTTTGCCTGAGCTTGTAGGGAAGAGCCAACATCCAGCTTACAGTGACGAGGGCTACTGCCAGCACCTGTCTACCCGTGTGCTAGCATCGCAAACAGAGTGGGGATGGAGAAGGCGTTTTCAGAGGCTGCGTTTTCCTAAAACGACCTCTGAAATATAAGGAATTCTTAATTAAATGCTTCAGGGAACATAACAGCATCTGGATTTGTGGCTGGGAAGAACCCATCTTCTGGGAAACCCCCAGTCTGCAGCAGCTGGTGTCACTGGAAAGCCATTACAGGTCAGGCCAGCTCCACCTGCTCCTCACCCCACATTCTTTGTCCTGACTCTGGGGTCAGCAGGCTCTGGAGCCATCGGCCTCTCCTCTTAGAAGCCTGCCGGTCACTGTGTTGCTGGCAGTGGCTCTTCTGTCCTCCCACTGCCTGGCCCTGTCACCCCTCTGTTCTCATAGAGGAGGAAGAAGATGAAGGGTGTGGATGTCTGGTTGGGTCCCCCCTTTAAAAATCCTAGCTTATTTAGATTAACTGAACTTTCATCCCTTTGTCAATTACTTTTCTTGGGGTAAAATACAGCTAACATAAAATTTACCCTTTTACCTCTTAAAAAAGTTAATAAGGTGTATAGTTCAGTAGCATTAAGTTTATTAGCACTGCTGTGTAACTTTCACCACGACCATCTCCAGAACTCTATCAGCCTCCCAAACTGAAACTCCATATCCAGTGAGCACTGACTCCCCGTTCCCTACTCCCCGCCAGCCCCTGGGAACCCTGTTGTTCTTTCTGTCTCTGAATTTGACTTCTTTAGGAACCTCCTATAAGTGGAATCATACAGTATTTGTCCTTTTATGATTGCTTTATTTCACTTAGCAGAATGTCTTCAGGGTTCATGCATGTTATAGCATGTGTCAGAATCTCCCTCCTTTTTAAGGCTGAATAATATTTCATTGCACAAATATGTGTGTGTACATATATATGTACATACACACACACACACACATATATATATATACACATGTATATGTTTATCCATTCATTTGTTGGTAGACATATGAGTTATTTCTGCCTTTTGACTATTGTTAATAATACCACTATGAGCATGGGTATACAAATACCTCTTTGAAATCTTGCTTTCAAATCTTTAGGGTATATACCCAGAAGGGGAACTGCTAGATCATATGGTAATTCTATTTTTAAGGAGCTGCCATACTGTTTTCTTATCAATTACTTTTTAAAGTGAAATTGTATCTTATGTCTAAGTAGTTCTGGGACACTTCAAATGCTCACAGTTGCTAGTGAGAAACAGTTTCCATTAT